CGGCTTTGATCACTTTGACGCGCTACCCTTATAAAAGTTTCACGAAGCTGGCCCCCGTATTCGCCTGCGTGGCGTGGCGTCGCGCGGCGTCGCGCAACGTCGCGCGAAAAGCGAATTTGATCAGGATTCGATTTGTCCTCCAACGTCGGACGGGGTTGCTCCTTTTTCCATGATCGTTTCTTCCCTCCCACGCCGGTGGTAATCAGTTCCTTTCCGTGTGTTTCGTCGACCAATGACGAGCCGGACCGAACACATAACGTTCGATGTCGCGATCCTGCAGAGTCCGCAGAGCGACAGTAGCAGCAGCTCGCGGTCGGCCGAGTCACCGATGTCGGTCCAGGTGGACCCGATGGCGGCGTCCGTGGTCGCCGCCGCTCTCACCGGTAGCTACCCTACCCTACTGCCTCAGTGGTGTCTACCACCAAGGGAGGCACCTCTCGTTGCAGGGGTGCAGCCTCATCAGGACAGTGCAACGCCAGCCGATCAACCTCTCGACTTATCGGCCAAACCGAAAAACTCTCAGGTACGTGGCTCCTTCTGGCGTGGGTAGAGATTCGCTTTCCTTCTCCTTTTGCGTCTAGTGAACGCGACACACACACACACACCAAGAGTCATCCAACGCAAATTGTGTCCTCTTCTCTCACATTTACGTTTACGTTTAACATTTACTTTTACGATATTACACCGAAGTCTTTGCGCCGAAGGATGCGGGATAAGTGATACGATCATGTCATTTCTGTCTGCAGGATAACAACATATCTCTATTGGAACAACAGAAAATACCTCTGAGGATGACAGCAGGTATCGATCCCAAGAGTATCTTTAAGTAAGTACATTTCTCCTTTTTTCTATTCGTTCGATCCGATAAATTCTCGATTCTGGATGATGTTTCGCACGTTCTCCGGTGAGATGCACCGACGAGAAACCGTGAGAAACAGAGAAACAGAGAAAATAATTTTCTTCTCTTCTCGATGTCTCACGGCTAAAGACGAATCGCCTTGTCCAAACGCCGTTGAAATTCGTACGTGAACGCTTGGTAACCAGAACGAGGAGCGCGTCGATTCCTACCAGTGTTATCACACGACTCGTCTTACACCTCGCAGCGAAACGAAGCCACCTCTGATATAGGCATTCCGCGCGAGCAAACGAAAGTGTTGCTCGCATTCCCGTGCCCCGTGTTCTTCCAATGGAATGGAGAACAGATTCGCGCTCGCACGGCAATTTAGTTTTGTCGTTGCTGATCGTGGATACGCTCGTGAATCTGTGTCCACGTGGCAAATCCCGCCGCTCGCTGGTTCCCTGGTCGTTACTGTCTCGATCCGTTCTCCCTGCCTTTGGATACTTTTATATCGTGCAGAAGTTGTGTCATTAAATAGGATTCGCGATGCACGAGTGCGAATCTATAGCGGCGGCGTACGAACCGGTAATTAAAAAGTTTCCACCGTTCCGTTGTTTGCTTATTCGGAAAATTTTCCGTCGAGCATCTGCTTCGGGCTTGCTCGCCGGGCTCCGGCTACTCATTACGAAAATTTGCACGGAAGTCTGTTACAATTTTTTTTGCCGGTTTATCTAGAAAACACCCGCGTCGAAGCATACGCTATCCGTGCATTAATCTCTTCAATAGAATTCGCGTGCCGGGGAAATTATCGCGCTCGCGTACCGCCGTTTATCCGTTTGTCGAACGAAAACATACACACGTAATGTGTAGCGTACGTACGTATTTTTATTTCGTACGAAACCTGGTGGTTATCGGGCTCAACATCGGCGTCCGTTCCAAACGGTGACTCGGAAATTGCGAGGAGAAACTCCGTTTCGGCCCGAATCGGCCGTGAAAGTCAAATCGAAGATGAACGGAAGAGAAATCGGAAGATCGGTTGCTGAAAATTCAAGCTAAAATCGACGCGCTCTCTTGAATAACGCAATAGTCTTGAATCGCAAGTTCAATGCTTCTTAACCCACCTGCGCGATGAAACTAACAAAAAGTTATTCGTTCAACGTGACTTTTCGTCTCAAGTATTTTTCTTCAAACACTAATTCCTTCGGTCTTCAATTCGTGAATAGGACGATACACTCTGTGCGAACATCTCGGGCAGATAATCTAATATATTTAAAATAGTTTCTCTTGTCCAAAGTTTGCCAACACAATATTATCAAATAAATACACTAAAGGTCGAAAGATATAAATTCTAAAATTGCGGTATTAGATTCTCGATAATGTGAATGAGCGAAAAATTTGTTTCATCCGTCATCATAGTAGAGAAGCAAGTTTGAGACGTAAAAGAAACTCTAGAATAAGTCAAAGTAACAAATCGCAGATTCTGATAGCAATAAGTCTCTAATAATATTCGAATAACAATTCTAACGATAAATCGTAGATAATCGTGAAATTCGTGTAGACAACGTGACTCGTTGAAAAGAAAAAGGAATTGACAGTACAATGACCGAAAGAACGAGAAACAGGGAGGGAGGGAAAACAGGGAGAAGACGAGTAACTTGCTGCGAGTCAAAGTCGCGAACCGTGTCCGTACGTTGCCCTCGTGTTTTCGCTGTTTTCCCCGCGGAACATTTTGCGCGTCAAATTTTTATCGTCGTCTATTATTAGTCCACCGTAATCTGCACCTCCTGACACATCGAGGAGGCACAAAGTACCTCGCGTATGTGTCGCGTACGCCGCGCGAGAGAGGAACGCGCTGGAGAAAAGGAGACGGGACATGGTTCGCGCGGGTTCGCGCCGGCGCATGCGCGCCACCGCAATTAACGATAAGATAGCCCGGCCATCGAAACCACGCGAGTAGAAGTCGAAATTAGAAGAAGTCTCGAACGATCGAATCGCGTTCAATCACGTTGTTGACAAAGCTCTCTTCCACCTTTCCGAGAAGGAAATACCCAATCGACAGCGAGAACGTCGACGTCGGCACGGCTTCCGAATCTCTCAACAACGTTTATCGATCATTTTCGTCTCACCGTCGATCGCACTTTTATCTTAATCGGCGCCGCGGACAATGATGGATTAAAATAAAAGGAGCAATTACGTCTCCGCCGATGCGGCGCTAATTATTTATGTCCAGCGAACAGCATGAGAGATTAGTTGTTAAATAGCTGGAACAACTATGCGCGAGTAGAACATGGGAATTCCGTCCTATCGTTCCATTCTTCCCATTTTTTTGTTGATTTTCTATCTCGACGTCGTTTGGCACACGTACGGTTGAAGGACGCTGGTGAAATCTGTGATAAATCATCTTCTTGTCTTTTTTTTTTTTTTT